TATTGCATGGTAACATTGAGTGACAGCATTGAATGGCATTGTTCTGGTTTCATGGATGTTTCTGAGTAAAATGCATGGTATAAGACTGGTATTGTGTTGAATATTGATTATTATTATTTTGTTCAACTTTAAATTATCTTTTGGTTTTATCTTCCTTATACAGAATGTATTAAAAGATCTTGAAAGTTAAACAACCTGAATTAGATGAGTTAATATTTAAAGGGGAGAATTTAAAAGCAGAATCACAGACTGAATATGAAAGACAGGCCTTGCAGGAAAAAAGTGAGTGTTTATTTTACTAAAACCTGTGTGCATCACTGACAAAGAGTAAATAAGCTTTACTTTGATGTATGTAAAGTCCACACAGGTAGTTAAAGTGGACAGTAAATTTTTCAATTCTTCAATAACAAGTTTGTCCTGTTTACAGTGAGTAAGTTGAGGGAACATTGGAATGATTCCGTATCCAGGGCTTCCTCTAGAAAAAATCAACTCAGTAACATGTTAGAAGAATCGCATCAATTTCATGAATTAAAGGATGAACTTTATAACTGGTTGGCAAAAATGGAGTCTTTGTTAGAAAATAATGAAGATGTTGGACAGACTGTTGATGTATTAGAAAATCAATTGGATAGGCATCGGGTAGGTTAATTCTATTATGTGTAAATTTAGGAAAGTTATTTTAGAGTCAGCATTCAACTTAATAAGTAACAACAATAATTTATGACAAATCTATGTATCATTCTTGTAGCTATATATCATTATTTCAACGTATGCTAATTGTCTTACCGTGTTAATTAAACTGGACAAATAATTTTCAGTTCTACAGTACAATGTAAAATCTGATCTGAACCAAGAATTATAATTTTTTTTGTAGGCATTTATGGATGAAGTAGACCAGTGGAGACCATGTGTTGATACTGTCAATGAATCTGGGCATAAATTAATAACTGAATACTGTACAGATGATACAAGCAAAATACGGCAAATACTGGAAAATTTGAACCCAAGATGGAAATACATCACCTCAGAGTAAGTTACAAATGAATATTCATCTCATAGTTATTGAGTATGTCTATGTGACATTTGATTTTCTAATCACT